GCACGTTAGTAACAGCAGAGTCCCAGAGCATGCCACATCACTCACGACTCGCCTATGCCGCCGCTCCTAGGCATGTCATCCTCGCACTGGAGGAGAGGGCTTATTTTCAGCGGTTGAAACCTGCCCTTTTACTGGCTGCTCTAACGTTTCTTCCTGACCATCATGGATCAAAAGCAGTCATCCGGCTGAGTGTCTGGCAGCTCCTCTGTCCAGCAGAGGTGGAAGGGGTAATGCATTGGGTGGAGGGTGTTTGTTGAAATGTTGCCTGGCACTATCCCAGACACAAAAGGAAGATCTTGAGCCTAATCGCTAGATTGGGATTTGAGGGAGATGATGGGCTGAGCTAGTAGATGGCACTGCAAACAGCCTGACATACTGCTTACAGAGCCTCTGCCTGCCCCAGTCCCTGAGATGGCATAGGAGCCAGCCACAAGGAAAGTGGCAAAATCACCTTTAACAGCGTGAATGGCTATGAATAGATTCAGCACAGGATACTCCACCAATAAAAGACCATTAGGCCTCAGGTGGGTAGAGGGCTTGCAAAAGTATTCCAAGATTGGGAGGTATTAAGGTAACCTCACTCCCAGACTAACCTGGTGCCACTTGGCAAACACACCACAGTTGCACAACTTCTGGATGTTAACACAGTCTACAGTCCAGTGGCAGGTGTCAAAGAATGCATCTGCTCCACCCCCACAGCCTGGGGATAGAGCCCTGCTATGTTCCTCTTTCAAACCTTGACCCTCAATTTATCTGCTGTTATTAAATTGTTATGTAATGCTTTTCATCAGCACCTGATGCTGGGTTAGGTTCAGAAGGAGAGCTCAGTGCCTTTGGGCTGACAGGTGGCTCCTGGAGCAAAGTCCAGGCAGCCTATTAACAGTTATGACATCCCAACCCAGACTCAGGCTCAGGTATGGGCCCACACAGCTCTGCATTCTTCAAGAACCCCCAGAGGAAGGTGATGGCTGCAGGGCTGGAGTAGATGCATTCTTTGACACCTTCCCCACAAGTCCCATCTGGGAGGAGGGGAGGAAGGTTAATGGGGTTGCAAAGCGAAAAATAGTAAGTCCTCCCCAGGGGCAGAGCTTATAAACCATCTGGTTTGGACCACATCTTCCAAAATACAGAAACTGACTTTAGCTGAGAGAGAACATGACCCTTGCTGGCTTAGGATGCACCCCGAGGTCAGCCTGGAGCTTTCTGGTTCTCATTTTAGGTTTGAAAGAGGAACATATTGGGCTCCATCCCCAGGCAGACAGCATGATCTGTGTAACAGTCTTTTGTTTGTTTGTTTGCTTTTTAAGTTAGTCGACTTTATTCAAACAGCATTCCTTGGTTGAAGGTGAGGATGGGTCTGCTAGAGCCTCACTCCAAAAGAAGGGGTGGGGGCAGTCAATGAGAGTCAACCTCATCCCTCAGCCATCGCCATTTGAAAGGATTTGCTCGGTTTCAAACTACATGCTGACTTCGGGGGCTTTCATGGTTCCCTTGAGCTTCTGAGCCTCCTTTTCCCATAAATCAGTGCTAGCACTAATGATAACTTCTTTAATTCAGGATTAACAAAATTAAATCCTCAAACAGACTCAAGTGTACTGAGTTTGAGGGTGAAATACAAATGTAAAACGTACAGACAGCCTGTCTATCTTTACTATTTGTTAAACTCATGTAGTTAACACAACCAAACAAGTCCTATGTGTGTTCTTGAGAATGTCTCCCCATTTTACCCCTGGTTGGTGACAAATGTCAGAAAGCTTTATAGACACAGGATGCATGATCCAGGAGTCTGCCATTATTGAAGTTGAGCATCTTATTATAAAAGCACCTGACAGACCGGGTGCAGTGGCTCACACCTGTAATCCCAGCACTTTGGGAGGCCGAGGCGGGTGGATCACCTGAGGTCAGGAGTTCGAGACCAGCCTGACCAACATGGTGAAACCCTGTCTCTGCTAAAAATACAAAATTAGTCAGGCGTGGTGGCGGGTGCCTGTAATCCCAGCTACTCAGGAGGCTGAGACAGGAGAATCGCTTGAACCCAGGAGGCGGAGGTTGCGGTGAGCTGAGATCATGCCACTGCACTCCAACCTGGGCAACAAGAGCAGAACTCTATCTCAAACGAAGAAGAAGAAAAAAAAAAGCACCTGACATATTTACTGTTTTCCTGTGCACGGAGCTTGCTGTGTGTGCAGAGCACTTTATTTTAGAGTTGGGTAGGTAGGTCTTTCTCCTCTCCTGCCCATTTCTTTTGTATTTACTCAGTCCTTTTCCACCTGGTGCCTGGCAGTGTCATGCACACCTTGGGCACTTACTGAATACTCATAGTGGTGAAGCCATCCATGGCTTCCCAGCATTCACACCCTTCCCCATGAGTGTGGCTGCTGGCCCAAGCTCCGGGGGTCATGTGTTACAGGGAAGAAGGGTGTGAGAATACAAGTGGTAGCAGAGCTTTACTCTGTCAGGGTGGCTGCATGGCACCTGGCTTCACTGTGCTTTGAATAGCTCTTAACTGTCATCTATGTTGAATGATATTTTATATATACCTGTATCTTGGATTCAAAAATCAAATAGACTAAAGATTTTATCTCCTGCCAGGCTCAATGTCAGGTTAACCAAGGAGAGAATATTTCACCTGAGCAGCTGTGTCGTGGCCAATAGCCTGACTAGTTCCCTTCTCGGGGATCTGGGTTCCTGGAGCAGCCAGCATGGACTAGATGAGCCTTCTGAGCAGAGTTTCTTAAACAGCAGCACTGCTGGCATTGAGCCCTTTGTAGAGGGGCTGTCCTGTGCATTGGAGGATGTTTAGCAGCATCTCCAGCTTCTGTCCCCTAAACATCAATAGCAGCTCTCTCCTCTAGTTGTGAAAATCAAACATGTGTTCAGATACCACCCCCACCCCCCAGCTGAGAACCACTGCCTGAGAAGGAAGGAGGGATGATGGGAGGAAGGGGCTTTTCCTCTGTGTCCTCTCTCTGTCCTGTGGGAGGCTGGGAGCCTGTGGTTGCTACCTGTGGCATCATCTTATAATCTTCCTTCTGAAACGTTAAAGCCTATACAGATCTGCTGGGCATCTTGTGAAAAAGCCAATCCTGGTTCGGAGAGCTGGGGTGGGCAGACCTGAGGTCTGCATGTCTAACCAGCTCCTTGGTGATGCTTTTACTAGGAGCATGCTTGGAGCAGTAGTGCACAGCTGTGTGATTAGCACAGGCATCTTAGTGACCTCTTTGTTGGAAGTTAAGAGAACTCACTCATGATGACCAAAGCAAAAGCATACTATATCAGCAACAGGGGCACTCACAGAAGGGACTGGGGGGCTTGGCCCAGCCTAGGGAGCTGGGGCCATCTCCTTCCCTCCTGGTTCTGGTTTTGGTTCCTGCCACCCCATCTCTTTGGCCCCATCCCCCTTTGCCTATTCCTAGACCCATCAGGGGCAGCATCACAGACTCCCTGAGAAGGAGGTATGTCAGGTAAGGGAAAGGGTGAATGGGCCTGTTTCAGTGGGACCCTGGAGTGACCTTAGGCTGAACATGATTACTGTCCCCCAGCAATGGAGTATACCCACAGAAGACCACCTTGTGAATGGATGTGGGGGGAACTTGGATCCAGGGAGGAGCCCTGGTAGGGAGGGTTGGGGTGAGGCCCTGGTTCCTGCCTTTCTCTGACTGTCCCTGACTCTAGCTATTGATTTCCTGCCATTTCTCCTTCCTCTGGCCCTACCTACCTTATAGGGATGGTGAGATAGCACAGCAGAAATATTCCAAGCTCATGAAAGGAATGCAGTCACTTAGATCTAAGAAGTACTATACCCCTTTTGAAGATCCCATATGGGAAGACCTCCACTTGGGAAACTGGGAAATTAGAGGTGACTATTTGCGCCATATTCCTGCAGAGTTATTTTGAACAATAAGCCTCCTTTAGAGCATTCAAAATTACTCAGTGTATAGTTAGTTAAAACTCCCAACCTATCAGTCTCACTACTGGCCTGTTCCAAAGGCATTGGCGGAGGTCTAAGGAAGATGGGTAAGTTGGTGATTTGGGGTTATCTTCCAAGAAGGAGGACAATGATGGGGCCTGGTCTTCTGCCAGGGGACCTATTTCTCAGTTCAGAAAGCTGACCTCATGATTAACGCAACTTGGAAAGGTGCACGAGTTCTGTGCATAAATTCTATATCCTCAAAAAAAAAAAAAAAAAAAAAAAGGAAGAAAAAAAAGTGAGCAAAGGCATGAGAATACAGAAGCTTTACAATTTTTCTGGCTTCTGGTGGCAGCCATGGGATAGGAGTCAGGAACAAGGGAGGGAACCCGCAACTCTGGACATGACCCTGGCATGTAACTCTGGACACACTGATTTCTAAAAGAATTCAGGGAAATCTGCACAAAAAGTGGGAAAATGAGAAAAGACAGCTGGATAGGCCACCTATCCTTATTTCAAAAGACGTTAATGCCAAAGCCAATCTGAAATGACATCAGGCAGATGTGCGTAGAGTCAGAGACTGTGGCCCATGTAAATTGTTGCAACGACAGCATACTTTCTTCACAGGTACTTTCTTCACATCCACAGGGATGTGATCTTTGGGAATACAAAAGCCAGCCACCCCTCATTTCCACTGCTGTGCTCTCCCTCTGAGCATGTTGATACAACTTGAACAGCTCTGCACTATATTTAGCACTAACCAAAATACCAATCGCCTAGACGCTACCTTCCCGTGCCCCTGAAAATTAGCTGTGTCTGCTGTATCTCTGTTCCAGTCAGACATGAGTGTACATGATCCTGGAGGAACTGAGTCCAGGAACCATCATGGCCAACATCACAGCGGAGAATCCTGATGATGAAGGTTTTCCTAGCCACCTCCTCTACAGCATTACCACTGTTAGCAAATATTTCATGATAAATCAGTGTAAGGCACTCACCTCCATCCTTAAGTGCATCCTCTAATTCAGCCATTTGAATTGTTTTACAATGCAGTTGTCCCTCGACACCCATGAGAACTGGTTCTAGGATGCACCATGGATACCAAAATCCATGTATGCTCAAGTATCTCCTATAAAATGGCATAGTATTTGCATATAACCTATGCATGTCCCCCCATATACTGTATATCATCTCTAGATTCCTTATAATACCCAATGCAATGTAAATGTTATGTAGATAGTTGTTGTATTGTTTAGGGAATAATGACAAGAAAAAAATGTCTGTACATGTTTAGTACAGATGCAACCGGCCATTTATTTTTCCTGAATATTTTTAATCCTCAGTTGGTTGAATCTGAGGTGCAGAACCCATGGATACAGAGGGCTGATAGTATTTTTCTTATCTTCTGGTATGGGGCATGTCTTTCTGTCTGGGGTCATCATTGGTTACCAAGGTAATAGATGTATTAAAAGCAGCTGGCATGGGGGCTGGGCAAACTAAATAGGGTTGACAGCTATGTCACTCTTCACCTTTGTGGGGGATGGGGTGGGGGCGGTGAAGAGATTTATTTTCTTACCCATTGTTAGATTTGTGACTGAGACCTCTATAAAAAAAGACAGATTAACAAGAGAAAAGCATACAAATTTATTCAATGTTAAGTTTTATGTTACACCAGAGTCTTCAGAAATGAAGACTCAAAGAAACAGGGAAATCCATGTGTTTTTATGCTCAGTTTGATGAAGTGAGTAATTATGGAGAAGTATGATTGCAGGAGAAAAGGGTACGACCCAACGATAATAAACCTGGGGAATTTAGCAAGGTCTGTTTGTTCAGATTTTTCCTGGCATCTCTGTCTTGCAGAATAGGATGTTCCTTTCCTCCAGGTATAGGTAGGATACCGCTGGAATGAAGGTCTTATGACTGCTTCAAACGAAAGCCAGAGAGCTCTTTTATGGGCTGCTTCAGGGAAGAAGGGCAGGAGAAGGTCAGAGACCTTCCTGCTTCTGCTGTTTTCTCAAATGCCAAGGTGCCATATTTTGGGATAATATGTCCTGAATCCCATCACCTTTTTCTCAAAGGCAGGTGTGTAAGGATGGATGGGTTACTTATCCTGAGGGTTCCCCGAAGTCTTCTGAAGAGAGGGGCTATATCAGTACTGTCCAATAAGAGTAGAATCAAGTCACTTATATAATTTCAAAGTCTCTAGTAGTCACATTTTTAAAAAGTAAAAAGATATAGGAGAAATTAATTTTAATTAGGCATTTTTATTTAACATGTATAAAATATTATTTCAACACGTGATCAATACTTAAAAGTTATTCACGGCCAGGCATGGTGGCTCATGTCTGTAATCCCAACACTTTGGGAGGCTGAGGCCAGAGGATTGCTTGAGCCCGGGAGTTTGAGACCAGCCTGGGCAACGTAGTGAAACGCTGTCTCTACTAAAAGTTTAAAAATTAGCTGAGTGTGGTGATCCACACCTATAGTCCCAGCTACTCAGGAAGTTGAGGCAGGAGGATCTCTTGAGCCTAGGAGTTTAAGGCCGCAGTGAGCTATGATCATTCCACTCTACTCCAGCCTGGGTGACAGAGCAAAACCCTGTCTCAAAAAAAAAAAAAAAAAAAAAAAAAAAAAAAAAAAAAACCCTATCCAAAAAAAAAAAAAAAAAAAAAAAAAGTGATTAATGAGATATTTCATATCATTTTCTTTGGTACCAAGTCTTGGAAGACTGTTGTGTGTTTTATGCTTACAGTACATCTCAATTTGGATTAGCACCATTTATTTATTTATTTATTTATATATTTATTTTTTTGAGACGGAGTCTCGCTCTGTAGCCCAGGCTGGAGTGCAGTGGCCGGATCTCAGCTCACTGCAAGCTCCGCCTCCCGGGTTCACGCCATTCTCCGGCCTCAGCCTCCCGAGTAGCTGGGACTACAGGCGCCCGCCACCTCGCCCGGCGAGTTTTTTTTTTTTTTTTGTATTTCTTAATAGAGACGGGGTTTCACCGTGTTAGCCAGGATGGTCTCGATCTCCTGACCTCGTGATCCGCCCGTCTCGGCCTCCCAAAGTGCTGGGATTACAGGCTTGAGCCACCGCGCCCGGCCAGATTAGCACCATTTAATTGCTCAATAACTCTTATGTGACTAGTGGTAACTGCATGGGATAGTGTCATTTTGCTCAATCTGCCAGACCGATGGGAGTTATTTTCCCATCTGAATATCTCTGAAGGGGACGAATTCCCCTTCTCTGCACTTCTATAACCATCTTTTCCTGGGGCCTTAGTACACACCAGGCATTATGCTGAGTGATTATTCACATACATCTCATCTCAAGTACTCAAGATAGCAACTGAATGAACTATCATCATTCACATTTTACAGATGAGGAAACTGAGGCCTAGGGAGAGCCTCAGGCAGGTTAAACAATTTGTTGAAGGTCTTACAGCTTGTAGGTCGTGAAGTTCAAGTACCAACCTAAGCCACCTGATTCCTCGGGCCTGTCTTCTTAACCACTGCCAGACTGCCCCACTCCTGTAAGTCCTGATCGCATCACCAAAAAGGACTTCCAGCCTTAGACAATCCCCCCCAAAAAATGTGCTATTGGCTCCTTAGGCTTTCGGGCAAAGGATACCTATTCCCAGGAGAGCCAGGCAAAGGCAGTAATTGTGCACTGCCTCTGAAAACGTCCTAATGCCCTGTCAGCTGATAGTGTAGGGATAACCATGGCTGAGAGTTCTGTTCACTCTAGTGTTGCAAAATTCAACTTTTAACAAGCAGAGTGAGTTTTGTTTTTTTTTTCTTTTTGTTGAGTATATTTATTAAGATTCTTTGGTCGCAGGTAACAGAAACTAAGGCAAAACAAGCTAACAGAAAAAAAAAAAAGAAAAATAAAAGAAAAAGGCAGGGACATCTATCAACAGGATTCTGGGCATCTCCTAAGAAAATGTCAAAAGATGGGGGCATACGAGGGATGTGACTCAGTGCTGCTCCAGGGACCTAGGCTCTGTAGCTCCACAATTAGCCTGTGATCTTCCAATGTGTGCCTTTCAGTTACAAATTCTCCAATAAGAGAGCCCTGTGGGTCAAGCTGGAGTCAGTTATTCACCAGTCCAGTCCACTCTGGGCAAGGGCTGCCACCAGGGACCCAACTCTGGAGTGCAGTGTGAAAAATCCTAGAAGGGTCAGGCCAGATACCCCAATAAATGTCTAACAGAGGAACTTAATGGGTTTTCAAAAATGTATTTGTATAGAGATTATGCTCTGCATAAGCTCTTCCTCATGTTAAAATGGTCTTTTCCAGTTTTCTCCAAGTTTCTGTATTCCTTTTCATTTCTCTTCAAAGGGTCACATTCTAACCTTTGCTTTCTTTGTGACTGGTACAATCCAAGTGGCCCAAATGATACACCGAGATGCAGGTGAATTGAGACAAAATCCCACCATTTCCCTGGAAGTTCTAGTGAAGGACAGACCATATGGGGGTCAGGAGAATCACATCCAGATAACCTTCATTGTGGAAGACATCAGCAACAATCCTGCCACATGCCAAAGGTTCACCTTCAGGTATGCACACTTCGAAACTTGGGTTGGACATTCTACCTCTTTGGTGGTCCTCCACCCTTCGGCTTATCTGGTATATTCTCAGGAGGACCTGAAGAATTATAAGCATTTGGAGAAACAGCTTAGTAGAATAAATCGATGTGAACTGTTCACTTTTGTCCACAGGTTTCCTTGTTGTCATCCTTTTTTCTTCCCTCTCTTTCATTTTCCTTCTTCATTATCTCCCTTGTTCACTTTCTTACTCTTAAGAATTATTTTTTATTTTGCTCCCTTCTATATCCTGCTCATCTCCGTTGGTGAAAAGGACCACAGGGACTTGTTAGGCCCTCTCTAGACCGTGCCTGTTTTTGTTTATTGCCACGGGTGGCAAGATGGGGCTGTTAGTTAGCAGTTATAATAGATGTTTGAGACTTAGGATCAGTGAATAGGAACTCCCAGAGAAACACACCACCAGCCAGATGAATAAATCAAACCAAGTACTTATGTAAAACCAAACAAAGCATCGAATTCACCTTACACAACTTAATTGAATATAAACAAAAGACATCCGAAAGGGAAAAAATGCAGGTACAAGTGGGATACAAGTGATTTTGTATATTTTGACTCATTCTTTGTCCCACAATCTATTTGCTATTATTTTACAATAAAGTCGCTTGTGATTCTGGGTTAATATGCTTTTTGAAAACAATATTATCTTTCTACTATTTTGTCAGAATCACATGATTAGTACTTTCTTACATAAGCCTCATCTCTAAGGTTTTGTTCCAGCCAGTCTCTGGTCTCCTGAGAGGCTGAAGAGGGCTCTTTGGGAGGAATTTGAGTTGTGGGGAGCAACTCCACAGTAGCCCTTGCTAAAAGACAGCCCTGTATCTGGAGCAAGGCTGATGACCAGGGTGGGTCTCAGTTCCAGATGTCCCCATGGGGTGAGTCTCCTGAGTTTATCTTTGAGTCATTTTGTAAGTTTTCTCCAGGTGACTCTGGACATAGACCCAATACATGCAGAGGAAAAAGGACCCTAGACCAGGATTGCCTTGGAGGAGCAGGGGAAATAGAAATTCCTTTACTACACTCATGAATGTTTCCCTCTCCCAAATGGCATGCCTAGCGTAATGCTAAAGGATCCATGTGGCCTCGAGTCTGATATCAAAATGGTTAAACTCTGTTCTGGACGCACCACTGACTTGTCCCTTCAGATCCAGTCTCCACCCTGCTCTGTGCTCCAAGACACTGACCTGGATGGATACTGTATTAGTCTGTTTTCATGCTGCTGATAAAGATACACCTGAGACTGGGCAATTTACAAAAGAAAGAGGTTTAATTGGACTTACAGTTCCACATAACTGGGGAAGCCTCACAATCATGGCAGAAGACAAGGAGGAGCAAGTTACATCTTACATGGATGGCAGCAGGCAAAGAGATAGAGCTTGTGTAGGGAAACTCCCACTTATAAAGCCATCAGATCTCATGAGACTTAGTCACTATCACGAGAACAACACAGAAAAGACTTGCCCCCATGATTCAATTTCCTCCTATCAGGTCTCTCCCACAACATGTAGGAATTCAAGATGAACCTTTGGTGGAGACACAGCAAAACCATATCACCCTGCCCCAGCCCTTTGCAAATCTCATGTTCTCACATTCCAAAACAAATCATGCCTTCCCAACAGTCACCCAAAGTCCTAACTCATTTCAGCATTAACTCAAAAGTCCACAGACCAAAGTCTCATCTGAGACAAGGCAAGTCCCTTCTGCCTATGAACCTGTAAAATCAAAAGCAAGTTAGTTACTTCCTAGATACAATGGGGGTATAGGCATTGGTACAGCTGTTCCAAATGGGAGAAATTGGCCAAAATGAAGGGGCTACAGGCCCCATGCAAGTCTGAAATCCAGCGGGGTAGTCAAATCTTAAAGCTCCACAATCATCTCCTTTGACTCTATGTCTCACATCCAGGTCACACTTATGCAAGAGGTGGGTTCCCATGATCTTGGGCAGCTCCATTCCTGTGGCTTTGCAGGGTACAGCTTCCATCTCGGATGCTTTCATGGGCTGGCACTTGAATGTCTGTGGCTTTTCCAGGTGCATAGTACAAGCTGTCAGTGGATTTACCATTTTGGGGTCTGGAGGACAGTGGCCCTCTTCTCAGAGCTCCACTAGGCAGTGCCCTACTAGGGACTTTGTGTGGGAACTGCAACCCCACATTTCCCTTCTGCACTGCCCTAGCAGAGGTTCTCCATGAGGGGCTGCCCCTGCAACAAACTTCTGCCTGGGCATCCAGGCATTTCCATACATCCTCTGAAATCTAAACAGAGGTTCCCAAACCTCAATTCTTCTGTGTACCCACAGGCTCAACACCACATGAAAGTTGGCAAGGCTTGGGGCTTCCACCCTCTGAAGCAATAGCCCGAGCTGTACCTTGGCCTCTTTTAGTCACAGCTAGAGCAGCTGGGATGCAGGGCACCAAGTCCCTAGGCTGCACACAACAGAGGGACTCTGGGCCTGGCCCATGAAACCATTTCTTCTTCCTAAACCTCTGGGCCTGTGATGGGAGTGGCTCCCACAGAGATCTCTGACAGGCCCTGGAGACATTTTCCCCATTGTCTTGGTGATTAACATTCAGCTCCTTGTTACTTATGTAAATTTCTGCAGCTGTCTTGAATTTCTCCTCAGAAAATGGGATTTTCGTTTCTATCGCATTGTCAGGCTGCAAAATTTCCAAATTTTTAAGCTCTGCTTCCTTCATAAAACTGAATGCCTTTAACAGTACCCAAGTCACATCTTGAATGCTTTGCTGCTTAAAAATTTCTTCTACCAGATACCCTAAATCATCTCTCTAAAGTTCAAAGTTCTACAAGTCTTTAGGGCAGGGGCAAAATGCCACCAGTCTCTTTGCTAAAACATAACAAGAGTTACCTTTGCTCTGGTTCTCAACAAGTTCCTCATCTCCATCTAAGACCACCTCAGCCTGGATTTAATTGTTCATATCATTATCAGCATTTTGGTCAAAGCCATTCAACAAGTCTTAAGGGAGTTCCAAACTTTCTCATATTTTCCTGTCTTCTTTTGAGCCCTCCAAACTGTTCCAACCCCTGCATGTTACCCAGTTCCAAAATTGCTTCCAGATTTTCAGGTATCTACAGCAGTACCCTACTCTATTGGTACCAATTCACTGGATTAGTCCATTTTCATACTGCTGATAAAGACACACATGAGACTCGGTAATTTACAAAAGAGGTTTAATGGACTTACAGTTCCACGTGGCTGGGGAAGCCTCACAATCATGGCAGAAGGCATGGAGGAGCAAGTCATGTCTTACACGGATGGCAGCAGGCAAAGAGAGAGCTTGTGCAAGGAAACTCCCCATTATAAAGCCATCAGATCTTGTAAGACTTATTCACTATCACAAGAACAGCACAGGAGAGACTTGCCCCCATGATTCAATTTCCTTCCACTGGGTGCCTCTCACAACATGTGGGAATTCAAGATGAGATCTGGGTGGGGACACAGCCAAACCATATCAGGTACCAACCAGCTCCCTTGCCTTTCAGTTTCTGGTTGGCCAATGGGGAGTCCTGGAAAGAGGGAAAGAGGAGGGTCAGTCTCCCTCCTTGTGAGCTGGGTACATCCCTCCCCTGCCTGAATATCTCCATTCCCATAGGCAGCTCTCTGTCCCTGGTGGCAGGGCCTGCTTCCTCCACTGGCTCCCCTGGGCCTAGAGGTGGTAAGGGTGCTTCACTCTCATGAGCCCTGAGATATTGCACTGTCCCATGAGATTTCCATATACTCTGTGAGCACCTTCTTCATAGTCCCTTTACTGACCCCTCCTAGAATGATCTTAATTCACCAGCTGCTTCCTGCTGACACCCCAATAACGTCAGTCACAATCTTGAGCACATAGTAGGTTCCTATCCTAACCTAAGCCCTACAAGTCCATCAGATGGGTGGGGATAGCTGCATGGGTAGTTAGGATTGTGACTTCCACACCTTTACATGCATAAATTGAGAGATGTCTGGGCCCTGGGGATGGAGTAAAGACAATTTGCAGCATCACACTTACACTTTATTTGACATTTTAAATCTGTGCTAGCACTCTTGGGTGGTTGCAGTACATCCTGGGAAGTTCCTGCCCTCTTCTGTCCTCCTGCTCTTCCTTGTTCCTCTGCCCTAAGAGGTAGGGGGTGAAGGTTAAGATGTGAGAATGTCTGGAGAGTGCTGTGCTGTCTCAAACCTTCCTTGTCCATTTTCTCTCTTCAGTGCATATCTGTTAATTGTATATTTGGCTTCCTGCAGTCCAGATTCCCCTGGGGTATGGGAGGATAGTTTGCAGACTGTGTTCCATATTAGCTGGTGAAACTGCAATTTGAATATCCTAGACTGTCCAGGCAAGCCCAAACAGAGTCCTGCTCTTGATAATCTTCCCTCCAGATTAGCCCTGAAGGCTGAAGTGAAATCCATAACTGGACTAACTGCATTTATTACTGAAGATAATCTAACCAAGGCTCAAGTCCCTTCTCTGGGCTCTTCTAGCGGGAGGACCTCTCAGCCACCCTATGAACGCCAAGATGTAAGGAAGGGCAACGAAAGGGACGCCTCCTCTGCAGTTCCAGCGGTGGAGGTCTTCAGCCTAAAGCCCAGCCCCGCGTCCCAAGGCTGCATAAGGGTGGGTGCGAGAGGGCTGAGAAGCCCTAACCTGCAGCACCCGCCATCCTCCCAGCCTGATACCTTCTCCAGCCGGACTATGTCAAAGCCAAGCACACAAGCAGGTCCAAACAGAACAAAGTGACAATGGCAGTGGTTCTGCCACAGTCTCTGACACTTGCTCTTGAATGTTTGTTCCCTCCTCAGAGGCTGTGGGCGCGGTCTCTGCTATGGAGTTCTTGAGAGCAGGTGGCAGAGCCGGTGGGGTCAGCGCGGCTGCTGGAGGCAGCTCCAAGAATGAGATGCTAAGATGGGGTTAAATGTGCAAGGCTATTATTAGGGGAGATGCCTGTGGCAGAAAATGGGGAGAGAGATGGACAAGGCTGGGCAAGTCATCAGATCATGATGCAAGGCTGATCTGAGTAAAGGAAAGAGGGAGAAAAGGTAGTTGGACATATTCTAGGCTGCCATGCAGTCTAAGGAGTGTTCAGCTAGGGCATTGGGGGTCCTGGAGTCAGTGTCAGCTGACACAGGACAGGAATGAGCCTTAGTATCTTTGCCATGACCAGTTGTTGGTACGTGGCCTCACCACAAACACAGTGATGGATTCAGAGCCCAGCAGCTGAGGCCGATGGTCAGTTATGCTCTCATGGTTGAAGGTCTTCCAGGCACATTCTCATGACAGCCACGATATATTTTTGTAAGAAATTCTACCAAGGCAAAATATGATTAAGATAGATAGCCAAAACAAACAAAAAAGAAAGAAAAGCCACAAATTCCTCCCTGCTTGCTCTGCATGCATGCTCCTTTGCAATGTGATTTTGCTGTTCCATCAAGAGATGGGTCTCCTTGAATCTGAACTTGACCATGTGAATTGCTTTGACCACTGGAGCATTAACAAACATGGCACAGCAGAGGCTTGGAAAATGCATGTGCATTGGGATTTGCCCTCTCTTGTTACTTTTGGAACCCAGAGACCTCCATGCAATGAGCCTAGACTAGCCTCCTAGAAGATGAGAACAACAAGAAGCAGAAACCAAGCACCTTCCCACCACTGGGCATGTGAGTGAGGCCATCCTAGACCATCCAGCCCCAGCCAAGCTGTCAGTGACCACAGAGACCAGCTGAGCCACACTTAAACGAATAGGACTGTGGGAAAACCTATAGTACTGTGAGAAATCATAAATGCTTGTTGTTTTAATTCACTCAGTTTGGGGATGGTGTGTTATGTAGTAAAAACTACTTGATATCATTTATGTCCATTTTATAGATGGAGGAACTGAAACCTGGAGACAGGAGAAAGCCCCTCAATGATTTGAAGCCTCAAGGTGTTCATTGGTCTCCCTCAAAGCCTCCTACAGCAAGCTGGGCTTGATGGGAAGGCTCTGAGTTTGGGGGTAGCTTTATTCATTTGTGTTATTTGCCTAAACCCTGGAGTCTACTGAGATTGAGACTCCCAAATTTGACCATTAATAAACATCTTTTGGATGAATAATATGAAGGTGTTAGGAGGCCCTTCTAGGCCATTGAAGCCACTAGAACACAAGTCAAGGAATTCTCAATCTTCAAAGCATGGGAGATGAGGGGTACAGGGATTCTCCCTAGCCCAATTAGAAACTCCTTCAGGCAGGAGGTAAAATTTGTATTTCTCTTCTATTCTTCTTCACAACTGTGCTAGTCTTATAAGTCTATTGTTCATTCATTCAACAAATATTTATTGAATGTGCCAAGAAACAAGCAAAGATCCTTGCCCTCATAGAGTTTACTTTCTAGGAGGGAAATAGACAATAAACAGAATAAACAAGAGAAATATATGGTACATCAGATAATGATGTGTGCTGGGAATTAAAAATAAAGAGGGGAATAGGAGAGGAAGTACGGGGCAGGGAATATTGCCATTCTAGATCGGGTAGCCTCACTGATAAGGTGACATTTGATTAGATAGATGAAAGAAAGTGAAAGTGTGAGTCACGTGGGTATTTGGGGGGAGAGGATTCCACAGTTAGTGCAGTGATGCTGAGGCCAGAGCCTCATGAAGAGTTCAGGGAGCACCAGAAGGCCAGAGTGGCAGGAGGAGAGTGAACAAGGAGAGGAGCTAGTGGGAGACGAGTTCAGAGAGGAAAAGGCAGGGATGTCCTGAAGCATCCTGCAGATCAAAAGTGGGACTTTGAGTGAAACGAGGAGCCATTCGGGACTTAGGAGCAGAGGAGTGACATGATCTGACAACATGTTAACAGGATCCCTCTGGCCGCTGTGTTTAAAATAGCCCAAAAGGTAGCAAGGGCAGAATCAGGGAGACCAGTTAGGAGGTGACTGCAATGACCATGGACTCACTTTGAATTGCAGTTAAAGTAGAGGTGTCTAGCCCAGGACCCATGTGAGAAGGAACAGTCGATTACCATTTGTTGGGGGAAATACTGGATTGTGTCTTTTCACCAGCATTATGGTGCTGGAAAGAACAGCCAAGGGGACGTTGCTTCTTGACCTGAACAAGTTCTGCTTTGATGATGACAGTGAGGCACCAAACAACAGATTCAACTTCACCATGCCATCTGGAGTGGGGAGCGGCGGCAGATTTTTACAGGATCCAGCTGGCTCTGGGAAAATTGTGGTCAGTTAATGGTCATTGCATCATTAAAAGGGCATCGGGAATTGGTCCAACATGCATCATGCTTTTGCTGCCCCATAGAGAGAAATTTCCAAGGTAACCCCCTCTCAGAGCGACCGTAACTGACAGGCTTAATAGTGAGTCTGTGTTCCCCAACCGCTCTTTATTTTACCCCGGTTCCAGGAATCGTTTGTTACACATAGTTGTGCCTGGGCTGCTAAGGACTGGATTCGTTCTTGCATAGCATGCAGTTTGTGTGCCTGCTTAGCATGCCTTCACAGACACATCAGTGCCCTCTGTGCTCAGGCACTAATGTTTATTTGAGCGCTCATTCCCGGCCCATAGAGGTGTGAGGTGATAGAAAGCAGGGCCGGGACCTTGAGTGTGTCTGGATAAATTCCACACCGTGGAACCACTGGAAACCAGAGGAGAGTGAGACAGTGAGGATGTGTAGGGAGCCCCCTCCCTGGCAACTCCAAGGGACAAAAGCTGCATTGGAAGAAGGATGGACATGAAAAGTGGGTCCCAATGAGCAGAGTTAGACCTTTCCTTACAGAGTTCCTGCTGGAAGGTGGTGGGGAAGGAAAAGAGAAAAATGAAAGGGCTGGGAAAGCAGCAGCCTCAGGGAGGGAAGCCAGCAACCCACTACCCTTCCCCTCACCCAGCTTTCTTCTCCACCTCCCATCCCAAACCCTTCTTCAATCCCCAAGAACATCTCACCCACTTTATTCATAGTGCCATCTTAAAAATAATTTCTATTTTTTTCTGTTTAAGAAATTAATACATGTTCATTGTAGAAAATATAGAAAGCACAGAAAAGCATCACCATTCACTGATAACCAGTGTTAATAGTTTGGTACATGTCCTTCTTGTCTCTTTTCTATAGATATATTTTATGTCTATTTATACATATATGCATAGGTATATTTTATTTTTATTTATTTATTTTTAAGAGACCGTGTCTCACTCTGTCACACAGGCTGGAGTACAGTGGTGCAATCATAGCTCACCACAGCCTCAAACTCTCGAAATCCAAGGCTCAAGTGATCCTCACATTTCAGCCTCCCTAGCAGCTGGGACTACAGGAGTGTGCCACCGTGCCTGGCTTATTTTTTAGGTTTTTCTAGAGATGGAGTCTTGCTATGTTGCCCAGGCTGGTCTCAAACTCCTGGTCTCAGGCAATCCTCCCACCTTGGCCTCCCCAAGTGCTGGGATTATAGGCATGAGCTACTGTGCCCAGCCTGCATATGAATTTTAAATACAGTAGTGCCCCCTTATCCACCGGGGATATGTTCCAAGACCCCTAGTGAATGCTCGAAACCACAGATAGTACCAGACCCTAAATAAGTTATGTTTTTTCCTTCTATACATAAATACCTATGGTAAGTTTAATTTATAAATTAGGTACAGTAAGTATTGACAATAATAACAATAAAATAGAAAAATTATACCAAAATACTATAACAAAAGTTATGTGACACTGGGCATGGTGGTGCACACCCATAGTGCCAACTACTTAGGAGGCTGAGATGGGAGGATCACTTGAGGCCATGAGTTTGAGGCTACAGTGAGCTATGATTACACCTGTGAATAGCCACTGCACGCCAGCCTAGGCAACAAAGGGGACCCCTATCTCTAAAAAAAGAATAAGGAAAACCAGTTATGTGAATGTGGTTTCTCTCTCAAAATATCTTATAGTGCTGTACTCACTATTTTCAGACTGTGGTTGACTGCAAGTAACTGAAACTATCAAAAGCAAAACCACAGATAATAAGGGGGGACTACTATAATGAAGTAACCCTGCATATAAGATTCAATTTTGTGCTTTTCTTCAACGAATCTGAAGTTGTGATCCTGAGCAATAGTGCTTAATGAACATCTTTGTACATAGATTCTCTCTCCTGGTAAATCATTTCCATTAAGTTCACTAGCAGTGAGCAAAGGTATGGTCATAACTTTTTAAAGTTCCTCATTTTTATGGGCAAAGTGTTCTCCAAAAGCGTTTTTTCAATTTATATATCCACTAGCAGTATGTGAAAATATCTCTCACAGCCTAATAAATAGGATTGTTTAATCTGTATAATCTACTATCTCTGTTTTAGTCTAGCTGATTGGTGATCTAGACTATGAAAATCCAAGTAACCTAGCAGCTGGCAATAAATATACGGTGATAATCCAGGTGCAGGATGTGGCCCCCCCTTACTATAAAAGCAAGTATCATTTTGTTTTATTTCATGAATGTCTTTCTTGAGTATCAATGACTAAACTCTGCTGGGCAATACTCGGTATTGTGCTAGGTCCCCCATCTCACTAGTACTGCCCTCATGCAAGGACCCCCTCTTTCTCGGCTGAATTGCAACATGTAAGAGTCTTTGAAGGGAAATGCAAATGCCATCATATGACTTCCTTGGTTAAAGCCTTCGAGCATCTCCTGTAGCTGTCAAGTTCAAGTTCCAACTCTTTGGCTTGGCATACAAGAATTTTCATCATTTGGTTGCTGCTTAATTCTCTGGCTTCACCTCCTGTTACTTGCTTCCAAGCCCCCATTTTTTTCCAACTGGGCAAACAGCTTGAAGTTTTCCAGAGTGAATTATGTGGTTTTATACCTTGGCATTTTTGTATACGCCTGCAACACCCCCCAATATCGTCCCTGCCCCATTTGTCTAATTCTGTCCTTATAAGGTTCAGCTTGTTCTTTCTCCTGGAAGCTGTTCCTCCTCTGGGTTCTGTAGTGCTCTGTGCGCTCATGTGCTTATCAAAGGGTGACCACCCTCAGCATCTAAAAGGCAGGAGCTCCCGTGTCTTAGTCACCTGGTATCCCCTATGCGCAAAGCCTATACACAGGAGATTCTTTAAAGACGTTGAATAAACAAATGGATGAGTATGGATTTGTGATTGAATGTGTTTCTATTTCCATTTTTAGATAATATCTACATTTATATCCTAACAAGCCCAGAAAATGAGTTTCCTCTCATTTTTGATAGGCCATCCTACGTATTTGATGTGTCAGAAAGAAGGCTGGGTAAGTAACAGACAAGACACAGACCAGAGGGCTCTCAATGGACTCCGTCCAAACGTGTGTTCTGCGGAGTGGAAAGCTCCCTTCTGGAGGCCTCGCATGCTGTTGTGCACAGTGATTCACAGCTGATTAGTATTTAGTGCACCTCTTATTTCTTTTAAATTTTCCTTGCTGCTGAGGAGCCCTTCAGGTGAAACTTGGACTTTTGAAAACTGTTGATTAAACTGCATTTCTTGGAAGCCTCTGATTGCTTCCTTGTCTGTTTGCCTGATCCCGCTAATCCTCCCTTTTCCTAGCTTAAGTTTTCTCTTGGTCTCCACTGTGAGCTTTATCCTGCTCACTCAGAGAATTAAAATTTAAAAACAGAAAAGGTTTCCCATTTCTATATTTCCTTCATTTATAAACAAAATAAAGACATTTTCTCTCTCCCCTACTAGGATTCCCTGAAGGCCTATTTTCCTGCCCTTTGCAACACCCTGCTTTTTGCAGGCTGTTCCCCCATTAAGGAAAAGACTCACTCCCCACTTTCAGCTTCACTTTCTGCCTCTCTCGCTCTCTCAGTTTGAAGGTAATACTATAAGTGCTGTGTAATAGACTCCTCACAGCCTTGCATCTTTAGATCATGGATCCTTTTTCCATATTAAAAACAACAACAACAAATCAAACCAAAACCAAAACACTCCCTCTAAAATGATCCATTCTCTTTAGGATGGTCTCCATTTCCTGACATTAAGTTTTCAAGCAAAAGGCAAAGTGAAGGTCCAAAGAAAACGCTTTTAATTTCTTATACCTTATCCAGTCAATAACAAATTAGAAAGGAATAGGCTTTCTGGGAATTCACAGATCTTACTGCAGTTCTTTTTGATCACCTACTTTGGGTCACACACTTAGTGCTGGGATACAGAATTGAACAAGAGAAGGTTTCTGCCCTTGAGGAGTGTAATTTATGAGAAGGAACTCCTATAAAACAAGCAAGCCAGAATGCTAGCAGCTCCACCAACAGTATTTGTAAAAATTGCAAAATGGAAGAGGACTTAAAAATCTATAATCTGTAATCATCAATTGCTAAATTCTTTAACAATTGTTTATTTTTATAAGAGCAATTCATGCTCATTATAGAAAATTGAAAAACACGGGACTTTTAGAAAACACTGCTGCAAAGAGATGTATGTGTGAGGATGTATGTTCTTTGTACTATTGTTTCTGATAGCAAAATGATTGGTGTCCCTGGAGTCTATATAAAGGCATAAATTGCTGGGCGCGGTAACTCACAAGTGTAATCCTAGCACTTTGGGAGGCCAAGCCGGATGGATCACTTGAGGTCAGGAGTTCGAAACTAGCCTGGCCGATGTGGTGAAACCCCGTTTCTACTAAAAATACAAAAAGATTAGCCGAGTGTGGTCGTGGGCATCTGTAATCCCAGCTACTTGGGAGGCTGAGGCAGGAGAATTGCTTGAACCTGGGAAGTGGAGGTTCCAGCAAGCTGAGATTGTACCCCTGCACTCCAGCCTGGGTGACAGAATGAGACTCTGTCTCACGCGCATGCGCGCGCGCATACACACACACACACACACACACACACACACACACACACACACAGGCATAAATTATCTATTACAGCTCACAGGACTGCTTGGATCATAGGGCCAGTTACCTAGTGGGTATTGGTTAGCATTATTTCAATTTAGTAGAAGTGAAGCTATAAAACAGTTTGGACAGCAAGGAGACCTCCAGAAGTCCTTCTTCCCATGGCAGGGAGGACATCAGTTCCTGAATCATCCTTCCCTACCTCTTAAAAGCAGGACTTATTGCAGGTACTTTATTCCTCCAGCCAGAACCTGAGTGGGACAGGTGCAAGCCACTGATAAAGACCTCCCCCAGCGCAGCCTCGTGTACTCCATCTCCACCGGAGGGGCCAGCCTCCAGTACCCGAATGTATTTCGGATTAATCCCAAGATGGGAGAACTCCAGCTGGTAACTAAAGTAGACTACGAAACAACCCCTATCTATATGCTCAGAATCCAGGCCACCAACAACGAGGACACAAGCTCTGTCACTGTGAGTGGGGCTGCTTGCTATAGTCCCGGTAACCCAACTGGTTGACTCAGGGTCTCTCTGGCACCCACAGAGTGTGGATGTGGCAATGAGGAAACTTCCCAGGGGCACATCCTGCAGGTGTGGTGAGAAACAAATAAAGGTGCCCTGGGAAATAAAGATCCACGTTTTTCTTTTTTTCTTTTTCTTTTCTTTTTTTCTCTTGTTTGAGACAGGGTCTCGCTTTGTAGCCCAGGATAGAGTACAGTGGTGTAACCTTGGCTCACTGCAACTTTCACCTCCTGGGTTTAAGCGATTCTCTTGCCTCAGCCTCCCAAGTAGCTGGGATTACAAGTGTGCAGCACTGTGCCTGGCTAAGTTTTGTACTTTTAGTAGAGACAGGTTTCGCCATGTTGGCCAGGCTGGTCTCGAACTCCTGAACTCAAGTAATCCACCCGCCTCAGCCTCTCAAAGTGCTAGGATTATAGGCGTGAGCCACTGCACCCGGCCCCACCTTTTTTTTGAGGCCCAAGTCTGTGGGTGACTGAGAAAAGCACTGAAATTGGTGGCCAGCTACTGGAATGTCTGGTGGACCCACAAAGCCACTTTGTGGGACAAGGTTCCTCTTGTGGCCCTTTAAATCTCGCTTTGCCTTCACTGAAGGCTGTTGGTGAAATGCACACTGTCCAGAAGTTGAGTGTGGTTTTGGAGTTATGCATTTCCTCCCCAGGAGCAGTTATGCCATGTTCCTACCCTGCCTCTACGCACACCAGATGGGGTAGATCTTAAAACGATGCTGTGCTGCTATCTTGCTTCCCAACCTTTGAGGCTGAGAATGTTGTTATATACAGATTCTGAGTCAGCGGGTCTGGGACCTGAGATTCTGCATTTCTGACATGGTTCCAAGTAGGGTGGCACTGCTGGTCCCCTGCCACACCTCGAGTGGCAAGGGCCTAATAGGTCCCTGTTGTTAGTGGTTTGGATTATCCAGGGGCAACATGATAGCCACAAAGACCAAACTATTCCCTGGTCCTTCCCATTAGTACACTAAAAAAGCATAGAGGCAAAATGAACTCTCAGTTAGCAGCAGGCAGCCATAGACAAAGATTGGCTCAGAGTCAGGAGACTAAGTTCATTTTTCACCTTTGATCCCAGTTTTCCGAGGGAGTCTGAGCAATGCTTATCTCGGTGTCCCTATTTCTCTCTCTCTTAAATAGAGAGTCACCTGATAACCCTGTGCCTGAATGGTCCGCTTCCTCTGATAGCTTGCTTCGAATTAATGGGATGATGTTTTTAATGATGTGCAAGGTTTGGCATTGCTACCCAAGGAAAGTTGGAGATAATTGCAGTGTTTGTTAGGCTGGGGTTTTTTTTTTTTTTTTTTTTTTTTTAGAAAAATGAATGGACCCTACTTTGGGAGCTAACTAGAGTGAGCATTTCAATTTATTCCCGGGCTCAGAAATAGCTGAAATCCCAAATTTCAAAGGTAGTTTGAATATGACTCAAAATTCATAAGCTTTTTAAAAAGGGTGATGAACTAAATGATCACACAAGTCCCTTTCAGGGCTGATGTTCTACGATTCTGTGCTGGCAGGCATCCCAAGTTATATTCCAATTCAGCAGGCATAGAAGACAGCGATGAAAGAGAATAGGCTGGCCCCTTTTTATGGCAGGGTAGCCCTAGGGCTTAGTAGAGTGCTAATAGCCCAGGTTACAGATGAGATCCCAGCTTAACCAGGCCTGCTTGTTCTGTCCCAGTGGGTCTTAGTCCTGGCTCATATTAGAATCAGCTAGGGAACATCAGTGAGGGCCCTGACCCCTACCCTCCAATCTATTGGGTCTGAAGTGGGCCCAAGAAAGCAGAGCCAGGGTTGAAAACCATTTCTGTATATGCCAGAGTTAAAGAACTTCCAATCCACAAGGGGCAGCAGGCAAGGCAGCACATGGAGTCACCGTAAATCCATACCTTCTTGGAAAAACAATTCAGTGTCATCTGCAGGTGAGCCTATGTGTTCAGGTGCATGTGTGTGTGGGGGTGGGTGAGACAAGGTATGCATACACTACATGTGTACACACACATGCACACGGGGTAGACAGTAATAGCGTAGGATTTGGAGTAGGACAGACCAGGATTCAAATCCCAGCTCTGCCATTCACTAGCTGAATGATCTTAGATCAATTACCTACTATCTCTAAACCTCCATTTTCTCATCCATAAAATGGGAATAATCATGTTATCTATCTCATGTGAGTTTAAATGAGCTAATTTATGAAAAGTGCTTAGCCTGAAAACTGCCTACACACAGTAAGCACTCAACGAGTTTTAGCTGCTGAGAATGACCACCTTCTTGCTACTCTAGGTTACCATGAACATCCTTGAAGAAAATGATGAAAAGCCCATTTGTACTCCAAACTCTTATTTCCTGGCCCTCCTAGTGGATCTGAAAGTTGGCACAAATATTCAGAATTTCAAGCTGACGTGTACTGACCTTGATTCCAGCCCCAGATTTTTCCATTATTCCACTGGCCCAGGTATAGTACTTGGTGTCGACAACCCTGACTCTGTCTCTGAGGACCCTGAAGTTGTCTAGGGTAGGGGTCTGTGCTCACACACTGATCTGGGCAAAGTGGGATGGGAGTTGGGAGGGCATTATTTTTTTGAGATAGGGTCTTGCTATGTTGCCCAGGCTAGTCTTGAACTCCTGGGCTCAAGTAATTCTCCTGTTCAGCCTCCCAAGTAGCTGGGACTAGAGGCATGCATCACCGCACCCAGCTTGCTGGGGAAGTGTTTGAATGAGAAAAGCAGAGATACAGAATCTAGCAGCCCCTATGCTTCCTGATGCTCCACTCGGTTTCCCCTTCTCGTCTTACTCCTCCCAGACCCCATATGTGACTGCTCAAAAGCCCAAGAAAAGGGTGAACCCCATCCCCTAATTCCTGACTACAGTATGAGTCATAAAGCCTATTAGCGTCATTAGAAAAAATGCAGTCCAACTTTTCAACCACCTCTTTTCCTGAAAGCTTGTAGTGGGGGCAGGGAATCCCAGTCCTCTCTCTGGATAATAATAGATTAAATAGATTAGGTGCATTTTGAAATGTGTCCTCAGGAATTCTCTTCTGCTCCATTCATCTTCTCTCTTTAAAAATACACCATTCTAGGGAAAAAAGAGCACCCCACAATGGAAATTAGACCAAAATAGCTCATCTAATGAAGTGCTGGGGCCAGAGATTTAAACCCAAACAAGCAGAACAATTCCACGTGAGAGAGTAAAAATCCATCCCTGCTGCCTGCTGTGCCCTTGGCCGAGCAGGAACTTGAACAGTAGGAAGCCTCTCGAGCTGGCTGTGTCACAAAACCCAGGGGCAGAAACTGCCTCGAGACTGCAGTTGCCGAAGATGGAAATAATCCATACTGAGAGCCCTAAGGCCTTTATGGAGCATTTTGCTGTTAAGGGAGCAAAAATTGCATCATCTCCTGCTCCATTTACTGGTGTTCAGTTGGTAATGAGTCTGGAGCCAGTGGAGGAATGAGCAGGGGTGTGCTTGGGCTGGCAGCCTCTCTGCCCCAGGCTCCCTGAGCTGAGCCATGAGCCCCAGCAGAGCTGCGTGTGTGTTTGGGGGTGTGATGGGGTGGGTTCAGGAGGACCTGGGACTGCCATTCCTGCAAAGCCAGGAGGCACCTTCCTTTGGGGGACTCCAGGGACATCCATAACCAGTGTGACCCACTGGGTCCCATGAAAAGCATGCAGTGAACTTGGCCTATGGCTAGGGATGTGACCTATTCTACCCTCTTGACGCCCACTCATTTGTCTGAGTGTGAATTACAGTGTTGTTACCAAATAATTGCCGGGTGAGAAATCAGAAGGGCTGCACCAGGGTTACAAAGTCTCTGCTTAATACTCAGCAAGATGGCACCTAGGCTAAGGGTGTTGTCCTATTGTCCTTTTCTACTCAGCCTTGTTTATAGCCACGCTGGTTGTGAGCAAGAGTTTCTTTGTATTAATGACATCTCTGGTACAGTTAAAGCCTGTAGCATATAACTAATCCAGCTCTGGTGTGTCACAGATACAGTCTACACTTGAGGTGTGGACATTTGAGAGAAAGATTGAGTGCAGTTTTCTTCTAAACCTTTATTTCTTACTCTCTTTTCTTCCTTTTACCAACACCCCTGCATCAAATCTCATTTAGGTAACGTCAACAATCATTTCACCTTCTCTCCCAATGCTGGTTCCAACGTCACACGCCTGCTGCTTACATCTCCCTTTGACTATGCTGGTGGGTTTGATAAGATCTGGGACTACAAGCTACATAACTGTCTACATAACTGATGACAACTTGCTGTCTGGCAGGAAGAAAGCTGAGGCTCTTGTTGAGACAGGAACAGTGACACTGAGTATTAAAGTCATTTCCCACCCAACCACTGTCATCACCACAACCCCCAGGGTAAGGGCTTTAGGACCTGGAATCCCCAGGCATGTTCCCTTGTGAGTTATGTTGATGGAATTCTTTCCCCTGCCCGGAGATATGTGGGGTGGACCGAAGAGTTGCGGTATTAGGATGTTGCCAAAAATGGCAACCACGGGCTGGACTGGAGTAGCTACAGGGTGGCAAAAATCTGGTGAGACCTCAGACTCATAAAACCACTCATATTTCCTGTTCTGGTAGAGAAGAGTGTATTGTTTGTGCAGAGACTTGTGAGAGATCAGACCTCAACCACCTGTGTGGCTTGTGGCACAGGAACCGATTTTCATGGGCATGCTGCCAGATGCTACCTTCACAGCCCCTCTCTGCATGTTCAGAAGAGTCTTTGCAAATCAATATCCATGAAATCAGGTTGCTTGCTTACTGCTGGGTGCCCTTTTCCACATCTTTTGAAGAATCACCATGTACCAATCTGTACCCTACACCCCACCTCCACTCCAAAAAATTCATCCAATCTACAAATATCGATTTAATGCCTATAGTGTGTCAGTCACTTTAGCAAACAAGCCAAAAATGATCCCTGCTCTCAGGAAGCTTATTGTATGGGTGAGTGGTTCTCAAAGTGTGGTCCCTAGACCATCAGAATCAGCACCACCTGGAAACTGCTTGGAAATGCAAATTCTTGGGCCCAGCCTAGATTATTAAAGTTATAGGTCACCCAACCATGATCATCACCATGACCTCCAGGGAAGGATGCTGGAAGCTGGAATCCCCAACTCTATCCCCTAACCTAATGGATCAGAAACTCTGGAGGTGGGGCCCAGTGAGCAGTGTTTTTAATCAGCCTTTCAGGGAATGCTAATGTGCATTAAAGTCTGAGAGCCACTGATCTAGAGGGGCAGATAGATTACAAACAAGTATTCAAACTGACAAAGTAAATACAGACTGTGGGAAAGGGTAGGAAGAAAATGACCAGGTGCTATCACAGAATCGGCTTGGAGAAGGAAGGGAGAGCCTGGAATCTGACAACAGGATTATCTCCCCTGCCCCTTAGAGGAACTGGCTTGCATCTATGCTAATTCATCTGTCCCCTTTCTTCTTCTTCTTCTTCCTCCTCCTCCTCCTCCTCCTCCTAGTAGAAGCTGCACCCTTGGTCAGCAGCCTCATACCTGCAGCATGCCAGAAGGAAGATAATCAGAACCTTAGAGAACCCCCTATGGAGGCGGCCAGCTTCTTCTCAGAGTCTTCCCAGGAGCTGGTTCATGCTTCTCTTTCCCGTGCTCAAGTCAATATGACCCCAGTGAATGGAGGTATATGGCAACCCTAAGGACTTTCCTTGTGGGAGGAGCTGGTAGGCTCCCCTGAGTGAGGAGTTCCCACCTTTCTTGGGCTCAGAGCATGACCTAATTGTGACATCTCCAATCCTGAAACCTCCATAACTTGTTTGTTATCTGTCTCCAGCTCTAGGAAGCAGATGCTGAACTTGAGGCTTTGCTGTGATATCAGCCCACTCCTCTGGCAGTGGCAGCTTGTAGTTGAGAAAACACTGAAAAGCCTACAAGGTGTTTGAAAAAACAACTTTCGTGGCTTATGCCGTCTTGGTGAGAGACAATGGCTATATTCGTCCCTGGGTTATGCCCAGATATGGTAGAAAAAAAGCCAATGGACTTTTTTTAGCTTTAGGAAAGAGGAAGACAGAGAATAAAATTAGGCCTACAGTTTTCAGTTCCCTAAAATTTCTGGGTTTTGATCTAATGGATGTCTGCAAAGACTATAAATAAGGTGATGGGTTGAAGTAGCAAGAACTGTGAGCACACAGATGTCCAATTTATAGAGCAATAACAAAGAGTGGAATATATACTCAACACAAGAGAGTGCTGAATGTCAAAATCACCACCACCCTCCACTCACCCTCCCTGCTCTCTGTTGTTCAAGCCCAGGGTCACCTACCAGGTCCTGAGGAAAAACGTTTACTCTCCATCCACATGGTACGTGCCTTTTGTCATCACTTTGGGCTCCATATTGCTTCTGGGTCTCCTGGTGTCCCTGGTTGTCCTATTGGCCAAAGGCATCCACAGACACTGTCCCTGCAAGACTGGGAAGAACAAGGAACATCTGTAAGTTGCCAGTGGGCTGGGCCCTCTTCCCCTCCTCCTTTAGGACACTTTCTGGTGATATTAGGAGAAGGAAAAATGGAGAATCAGGATTTCTCTACAAGGCAGGTTGCCTGGAATGAAGGCAGGAAAAGGAGATATGGGGGAAGGAATCCCAGCTCCCCTCAGTCCTGGTGCACTTTTTTTTTCACCTGCTAGGCCAGGAAACCATCCTTTTGGCTTTCCCTGGCAACCTACTCTGTCCTTGAGGCTCTCAATGAGACTGGGGCATCAACCTTCTGATGACCTTGACCTGGATAAAACCTTCAGAAAAGCCCTATTGTGAATAGTGATAGAATATGCCATGCTCTTATTTGTAGAATATTTAAAGGATAGTATGGAATTAAGGCAAGCACACAAAACCAATGAGGGAAATAAGCTTGTGTCTCCAGTGACTCAGCTGGGTTTTTGTGTGACCAAATAATTATTAGTGTTTTGCATGTGATCTCAGTCTCTCACTCTTAAGGGTTATAAACGCAGGCCTGTTTTCTCTCTTTCGAATTTTCACCTGCCCACTAATATGCCTCTTATTGTGCCAATCTGTGATGTGTCTTTCACTGGCTAAAAGTGAGGTAGTAGAGTGACATGAAGAGAGCACCAAAGAATCACAAACTTCTCCCAGAGCCAGGCTTCTTGATTCTCGGTAGCTCTTAACAACTTATAGCTTAGAGGGTTCTGAGCCTGAGTTTTGGAGTTCGATGGGCCTGGGCTTGAGTCTTAGCTCTACCGTTTTCTTGGAATATGGCTTTGAGCAAGTCACCCCCTCTGTGAGCTTGAATTTTCTTGTTTGTAAAATTAATCAACTAAATGAGCAAATGCAAACAAGGCACTTAACTGTATTCCTGATACAGAGTAAATGCTTAGTACACTACCCAGACATTTTTTACAAATCTTGTTTCCTTATTCTTCACAGATGAGTCCCAGTGAGTTCAGGATTCTAGATTCCAAGTTTAGCTCTATGCCCAAGTATCTTGAGGTATTGGAACCTCTGAGTTCTAGGATCTCTCAATGGCAAAAAGAGGGGGTGATGAGACATGTGTGCCTTTTAAGGGCATTTTAAATATTAACTATTAACTGTCAAATAACAAAATGTATGGATGAAAGACTGTATAAAAGTACAAGGCATTAGAATAAAGATGTGCATTGCATTTTGCCATATTTATTGCGAAAGTTTGTTGCTATGGGCAACCTTGACTTCAAGGTAAGAAATCCTCGAGCATCTGCTGAAATTAAAAAAGGCATTTTTGTTTGAACTCTATTCACAAATTGATTTTTTTATAAAAACAGCTCTAAAAGAGTAATTGCTTGTAAGGATGGTGGTGTACTGTAATGCGATTTGGATAGAAGTTCTTGAAGAAACAAATCCAATAGACACTGTAACTCTCATGTAATTTATGGCTAAATGTTAAATATGTACCTTGAAGCTGGTTCTTTTAACTTAGGTTGTAAATATTAATTGTTTTCAACATGGTTGACTTAAAAAAGCAAAACTAGCTAGAAAACCAGTCTCAGACTCAACCTCTCTGGAAATTAGTTACACCATATGACAGCCAACTTTTGTCAAAGAGCAAAGAAGAAAATTAGAGTTACAGAGTTATAGAATCCAAGGTGATCGTGGGAAAGGTCGTGGGGTCCAAGTCCAGCTCTTCGTGTGACAGGAAACCAAAATGTAACTGCCAGCTCTCAAGTCTCCCTGCTGTGAGCCAAGCCTTCTGCTCTGCTGGCTCTTAGGGAGAAAGGGATGGGGCAGGAAGACTTGCTGGGCAGTCTGACTAGGGCAGTCATGTCCTCACCAGGTGTTCTCATCAGAGACAATGTATTCCCTGAAGTTTATAAGGGGATACTTTTTAACTCATCAAATTCTCAGAACGTCCCTAGTCCAAAGCCAATAGTGATGAAGCTGCTTTGTTTGAAGCAGGTGTGGTGGTCTAGTCTTTCTTGTCCCTATCCCTGGCACCTCTTTCAGTCAACCCCTGTATCTCAAAGGGCATAGTTGCCCAAAGAACCCCATGGTGTCATGTACGTGCCAGTGCAGCATACTTTCAAGTGAATTAATATCCCCTCTTTTTTCCCCTGCATAGGACAAAGAAAGGAAATAGGTTCGTACCTGTTTCCCTCGTCTGTTGTTTTTTGCTTGCTCTGTTGTGCTACATAAAAAGGTTCCTACTCGGCAGAGAATCAGGCTGCGATCACGTCTTGGAGCATTTTCAGCTACATCTTCCGTGGATGGAAGGAAGTGGAGGTTGGTTGCAGCTGGAGAATGGGAAGGGCAGGGGCACAGTATCTTGGCCCACCTGGATCTCTCAATTTGGTCCTGTCTGTGCCCTACCTAGCGCCCTCTCCAATCAGCTCAGTTGAACACCTAGGTCTGTCCCTTGCTAGGTCTGTCCCTTGCTGCATGGCACAGGAGGAAAGAACTCTCCACGTGTTAAATGTAGACAAGACCTGCTTACTGCTGCCCACGGAGGGTGTCCTGAGGACAGCTAATGCTTTGTGCTGGACACAGGCCTCTTTTGAAAGAACAAATAAGGCCGGGTGTGGTGGCTCACACCTATAATCCCAGCACTTTGAGAGTCTGAGGCGGGTAGATCACAAGGTCAGGAGTTTGAGACCAGCCTGGCCAGCATGGTGAAACCCTGTCTCTACTAAAAATACAAAAATTATCCGGGCATGGTGGCACACACCTGTAGTCCCACCTACTTGAGAGGCTGAGGCAAGAGAATTGCTTGAACCTGGCAGGCAGAGGTTGCAGTGAGCCGAGATTGCACCACTGCCCTCCAGACTGGGTGACATAGCGAGACTCTGTCTCAAAAAAACAAAACAAAACAAAAAAACCAGATAATACTTGATACCCAGATTCTAATGGATTTGATCATTTCCACAAATTATTTAGATTAGACTAGAGAGAAAGGGGAGATGGGGGTGGTGAGATGGGCCAAGAAAGCTGAATGACTTCGGGGAAGTGGGTACATTGTGGGGGGGTGCGGGGAAGGTCCATCTGAGCAGCTCCAGGTCTGAGGAGGTGTCCTGGCCTGGCCTCAAGTAGACTCCAGAGTGCTGGGGAGACAGGACAAAGAATTGGACAGTGTTTTAATTAAAAAAAAAAAAAAATGCTTGCTTTAATCACTTCATTCACAGGCATGTGTCTGACATGCTTAAGGCTTGTCTCAACAGGGTTAGAAATTTGATTATAGTGGTTATTGATCATATTGAGAGTGATGATTTTAATAAATGAGATTTTCACAAACTGTCTCTAATCCCACTTTTTAAAAAGGGGCTGGGGGCTGGGCATGGTGGCTCACACTTACAATCCCAGCACTCTGGGAGGCCGAGGCTAGAGGATCACTTGAGCCCAGAAGTTCGAGACCAGCCTGGGCAACATAGTGAAACCCTGTCTGTAGAAAAAAATTTAAAAAATTAGCTGGGTGTGGTAGTGTACGCCTGCAGTCTTAGCTACTGGGGAGGTAGCTGAGAGGATGGCTTGAGCTTGGGAGGTCAAGGCTGCAACGAGTTGTGAGTGTGCCACCGCGCTCCAGCCTGGGCGACAAGAGTGAGATCCTGCCTCAAAATAAAATACAACAATGAAATAAAATAAAAGGGCTTGGGGAATGAATGCATAAAACTCCCACCTTATGAAAAGAGGTATCCAATCCAATCTTTCTTTCTTATCTTAAAAGCCATTTAAAAGCCAGTTTTCTAGGTCCATTGATAACAAGCTAGAAAAAGAGTAAAAAAACCTACTGTTGTGTGTGTATATACGTATGTGTATGCATTTTTTTCTGAGAAGATGGAAAGCTGTCAACAAACACATCTACAGACAGAACAATTCTTTGCTGTGTCTGCAAGACTGAGATCGAAGCCTATTTAGGGGAAATACCATTGTGGGGGTGGAATTTTAAGGTCAATTTAATGCCCAAGAAGCTTAACTTCTGCCTGTTCTGTTCTCTGCAGAAACGAAGACTGCAAAGAGAGACGTTGTGGTGGTGAGTATGGGCAGTGGGGCACCGGGCATAGACACTGGGGGATGGGGGCCCCATCTCCCCCGAAGGCAGGCCTGACACAGCCTTGTGGGCATGCTTATCATTCAGAGAGGTGCTTGCATTTGGCTACTGGAACAGATTGCTGTGTGACGAGCTCCTGATAGAATCTGTTCCCTCCACTGAACATGCCTGCTGATATATTTGCAGAAGAACTGGATTTCATAAATATTGAGTAGTGGTGTTTATTATCTATACCAGCTCTCCACGAGAGTGAGTTGGGGGAGTGCAGCTTAAAGACCAAAACTAGTGCTTCAGCCTCCAATGATATTTACATTTTCTTTCTTTCTTTCTTTTTTTTTTTTGAGACACAATTTCACTCTGTTGCTCAGGCTGGAGTGGAATAGCATAATCTCGGCTCACTGCAACCACTGCCTCCTCGACTCAAGCGATTTTCATGCCTCAGCCTCCCAAGTAGCTGGGATTACAGACATGTGCCACCACACCTGGACAATTTTTTGTATTATTAGTAGAGATGGGGTTTCACCATATTGGCCAGGCTGGTCTTGAACTCCTGACGTCAAGTGATTCACCCACTGCGGCCTCCCAAAGCACTGGGATTATAGACATGAGCCACTGCACCCAGCTGATTTAAATTTCCTTTGCTCTTCCAGTATCATGCAGAAAAGTGACAGAGAAAGGGCCCTGCCTGGTCCGGGGTTAGCTCTGCCCACTTAGCCTTATCACCTTGGGGACTTCCCTGGCCTTGCTGAGCTTTAGGTTCCTCGCCTGTAAAATGGGGGGTGAGGACATCTGCCCTGAGATAACAGATGGAGGAATAGTTTGAAAATTGTTGTGTCACACAAATGCAAAGTGTTACAGGATAGCTGGAAAGTTCCCTCTCCTCCACCTCTCTCTCTCTCTCTCTCTCTCTCTCTCTCTCTCTGACATAACCTTATCTACCCCCTGGGAAGTGAAGTGAAAGAACTTGAAGGTGGCTCCCTCCAGCTCTTCCCTACCCTCATGAGTAAGGCTTTGTCATGGTCCAAGCTTCATGAATTTGTTGCATGATAATTCAATGGCTCCTCCCATGAGGAAGTCAACGCAGGGCGCTGGAATTTTGGCTTCAGGCACATCCATCCCCTAAGTCTTCTATGTTCTGGCCAGTGTACAAACAGGAAGAAGAGGCAGTCTCTGGTCTCCTGGGTCTTATTGTCTAAGGCGAGTACCCTTGGGGATGCCACTTAGAGATTGCTCTAGAACTATGTAATATTAAATTAGTCTATTAAATAAATACCCGTGACCACAAAAAGTGGGGCTGCTTAGCTGGTCAAATTGATGAAGCCTGTGTAATCCCCATTTCCTCTCTCTTCAGAGTTGGGCAGTTGTGGGGAACTAGGTAGGGGATCCTTTAAGTGATAAAACCTGGGGATTGGAAAGCTAGCCAAACTCCAAACACAATCCCTGCTACTGTGCTAGCGACCCTGACTTTGGCACCTCTAGAGGGCAGCATGTGAGGGAAGGGGTGTTTCTATGGGGACGAGAGACAGGTGCATTAGGCAGAAGTCAGGTCCTGGAGGGTGGCACCGAGGACATATCAGGGAAGAGAAGAGACCTGGAGCACAGGACTTAGGTGAGGCCCAGATGCGACATTGCATTGGCCTAGGCAATGGGAGGCCGCCGCAGGGGAGGGCCGGAGTGCCAGGGCCAGAGGTACAGACACCTAGGAGCTCACCTGTGTCCACCTTGACAATGCCTGACAGCGATCCACTGACAAAATGTAGGTCTTAGCCATGCTGTGTGGCATTTCCACTCTTCCTTCTACGCTTAGATTTTATTTACTCAGGATGCTTCCTTAACCCCCAAGTGTGGTTTAAATGTCTCCTCTACCCCTACCTGTGCCCCATGACAGCCTACATCTCCCCATCAGAGCCTTATCACTCTGCATTGCAGCACCTATTTGTAACTGGCAAGCTTTGTACAGGTAGTGCCCATGCCTGCCTTGTTCACTGCTGTGTCCCCAGCATCTAGTACAGTGCCTATTAAAGACTTAGAAGTCAAGAAGGCTTTGGGTAAGGAACTTGGGTTGTGAGGATGCATGGCTTTGCCTGGGGGGAGGAATGTAGGGTTATGTTTGATGCCGTCTCTGTCTTCTCCTTAGGAAACTATCCAGATGAACAGTCTTTGATGGAGAAGTCATAAATCCAGGTAATTAAGTGGCAATACCACTGTAAGAATGCTTTTCATATTCCAGACTGGTAGAAGCATGGAGGACCTTATCCAATTTCCTGCTTTTAACTCATTTTGTCAATCCGTTTGGCTATGTCGCCTATACAGTGCTGACTCTTCCAGGCTAATACAACGTGAGATCAGCTGTGAACCCAGCTGGCTTGCAGATGCTCAATTACAGGATCACACTCGTGAGGCCTCAGTGGGTCTCCACCTAAAGGCTCACGTTCAAGGGCCATGCCTCTTTCTTGCCTCCCTTCCTAAATTACGAACCAGCTGAGGCAACTGGTGAATCCAGGAATCCACGGTTTTTTCCTGCTTTTTGGTACTCATTGCGCCCCCCGCCCCCCATCCACATTCTTCCTGGATGCTTCTAATAGCATTTTATTAGTAGTGGAAGATACAGAGAAATGGCAAGTGTCGTTTCTTTTTTCCCTAGATCAGGGCCAAGAATTTCTTCTTGGTCGGCAAGATGAACATAAGGTAGAGCTGGCCTCCAGAGCTCTCATCACCCCCGTGAAATCAGCTCCAAATTTAGCTCCTTTACACTCATCCCTCCACTTACAAAGGCTCAATTATAGACGTGAATAAAAGGAAGGAAACCAAATTCAGGAGGCAAGTGTGTTGGCTTCCTGCCACCCTCATATGCAAACGGCACCGGTCCTCCTCCTAAGGAGGATGGCTCCTCTCCAGTGAGAGGCTGCTGCCGCCGCTGCTGCTGCTGCTGGAATTAAATTTCCCTCTATTATTAGGTGCTTGTTACCATAATGTGCCCACATTAGCATAAGTGCTGGTGGGATCCTGAGCTGAGAGGCCACTCATGCTGTATGGAAATGACAAGAAGCAAGGGCTTGCCTTAAACCTGATCTTCCAGAGCAAAAGGCAGAGGAGGATTTTTGTGTTTTTGTGTAGTTGAGAGAAAAAAAAAAAGAAAGACATGAGCCAACTGGCCTAAATCAATTAGCGTCTGCTGGCTTGGACACAATAAAAATGGCTTCCTTGCATCATTTCAAGTGCGACCAGATTTGTGTGTCTGTGTCTACAAATTGCTGCTAACCTAACATAAATAAAAATCAGCCTTTTCCTTCTCACTTGGTGAATTCCTTTTTATAGCAGGAATTCAGGGGTCTTTTAAAACAAACAAAAAGGAATCAGAAAGTAATGGGTAATCCCATTAGAAACTGAACCTAATTTATCCAAAGCTTGCATGGAGTTCAAGATTTACACGGCCTTCTCATCCTGCAATTGAGATGTCCTTGAGATGCTCCTAAGCCTTTCTATCCAGAGAGGTTTGCTGTTTGCTACCTGTGTGGTCCAAGCAGCATGGCTTGTGACAAGGGCAGGCTGTTGGAGACTGCAGTGCTATTCACATGTCTGCTGTCGGTGTCAGTGATTCACATCTTCTAGTGTGCTTCATCTTCCCTTGGGAGTCAGAACAGAGTGGGGTAGAAGTGGGGGAAGAGACAGTCATTGGAATTTTCTGGTTTATGTGATTGTTGTGTTTTTTTCTTCACTAGCGACTGGGGAAATATATGCATTCAACTCAAAAACTGGATCCAGAAAGTGGAAAGATCCACTAACCCAAATGCCAAAATGGAAAGAGCTCAGCTCCCAGGGAGCGGCCCCATGCAGAGTCGCTGCTGGGGAAGGGATGGGGCCACTGAGAAGCGCCAACCGGGGAAAAGATGAGCTGAGTGGCAAAGCGTGGGCTGAGGATGCTGGTCTGGGTTCCAGAAATGAGGATGGCAAGCTGGGCACCCCAAAGAACAGAAATCCAGCCTTCATTAACAGGGCTTCCCCCAAACCACACCCAGGAAAGTAAACAGGGGCCTGTCAATCACTGGGATGCTGCCTCACCCTAAATTCTATGGGGACAGTGTGGGCATGGCGTAGGTGGGACAATGTGGGCTGAGGGGATTCAGACATCCAGGGTCAAACATGAGATATCTGACAAATTTTTAAACAAATAGAAAGGGATTTGATCACATAGTTTCCTGTTCTGAAATGATACAGGAACATTTTCTATCAGATCTCAGAACTACCTGTGCTTCTGATCAGCAGGACTGTTAACTTTGGGGTGTGGAATTGTGTTTCTTCTTTGCATTGACTGCTAGGAAGCTCTATTCTGTTCACCATAGGAAGTTCACAGGACTTCCTGACACAAATAGTGAAGACCATCCTTACATCTGGTTTCCACCTTATTTTCCTGCCCTGGTTTTAACATCACCCAGATTTCTTCACTTATAAATATACCATATACCTTTGTAAGTCACCTCAAATCTTCTTCAAAAGAAGCAGAACAGTGAAAAAACAGATGAATACATTAAGAGTTGGTCATCTGGGAAGAAGAAAACGCAGTAGGCACCTTCTTTTGTTTTCTCTTGTGGTACTGTGTAACTTATAGTCAAAGTACACAGATCTAATGTGTTCAACTAGATGACTGAACACATTAGATCTGTTCAACACTCCTCCCAGTGGCAGCCACTATTCTGATCTTTATCATCAGAGATTAGTTTTGCCTTTTTTGAATTTCACATAAGTGGAATCACACAGAATGTGCTCTTGTGTGTCCAGATCAGCATCCTGCATATGAGATTCATCCATGTTGTCCTGTCTAGCAGTACTTCAGTTCTCTTCATTGTTGTGTCTGATTTCATTCTATGATTATATCACAACTTATTTATCCATTCTACACTAGGGTGGCAGCTGCTTCAAATTTTTTACTTTTAAAAAATGTACTTAAAAGTGAACTACAGGTGGGGCATGGTGGCTCACGCCTGTAATCCCAGCACTTTGCCAAGGTGGGCAGATCACCTAAGGTCAGGAGTTCAAGACCAGACTGGCCTAGATGGCAAAACCTCGTCTCTACTAAAAAATACAAAAATTAGCTCGGTGTGGTGGTGGGAGCATGTAATCCCAGCTACTTGGGAGGCTGTGGCAGGGAGAATTGCTTGAACCTGAGAGGCTTCAGTGAGTAGAGATTGTGCCACTGCACTCCAGCCTGGGCGACAGAGCAAGACTCCGTCTCAAAAAAAAAAAAAGTGAATTACAACACTATGCACTTTCTTGCATGTGTATTTTGGTGAATATAAACACTCACTTCTTTTGCTCATATACCTAAGAGTGGGATTGCTCGAGCAATTGCTGGATGCTGCCAAAGAGTTCCAAAGTGGTGGCTCTGATTCACACTCCAGCAGCAAACACTAAGAGTTGCAATTGCTCTGTATCCTTGCCAACACTTGGGATTGTCAGTCCTTTTAATTTTAGCCATTCTGGTTAAAATTACTATTGAAGTGAAATCACTTTTTCCTCAAAGCTGAAACACCATCAGCCTTACAACCTACCTGCCTTGCTCCTTCCCACTTCCTATGATCGGAAGGAACTGTGGGATTCTGAGTGAGGACATACTGGAAGCCCTGTCTAGACATACAACTCAGACTTTCACCTGTAGGCATGAGCAATGAACTGGAAATAAATGGTATTCTGATGGAATAGAAAATGAAACTTTCCAATGTGTGCCTAGCAGAGCCTGAGCAAGTCTCACTCGAGCTCTATGCCCTGCTGCCCAGCTGCTGTGACCCTAGTCCAGTAACCCTAAGAAAGATCCAGGTGAGAGTTCATTGGGGAAGCACTCCCTTCGCAACTGGGGAGTCAGGTGAGAGCCTACCAGGCCCACAGGGTCCTGTGGGAGACTGACTGGATCCATCCAGCAAATGCAGAGCTTCAGAGAGAGCAGCAGCTTATTTACTGTGTACCTAGTGCCAGTGTCACTTCTCAAGCAAAAGAAGCATTTGCGAAATGCCCTGTCCTGGCCTAGATTGGGCGTGATTTATTAATAAGGGTTGGTTGCCAGGGAATTCCTTTGAATGACTTTATACTTTGCAAAAGAAGGCAGGACTGTTCATTTATGCAGGTTAAAGTGAGTGAAGTGGCTGATTGCCCATTTAAGACATTGCAAATCTTTGGGGCCCGGAGTCAAATGCTTTCCTCGGAAGCTCTCAGCTTCAATGCAAGTAAAATGAGGCTCTGAGAAGGCTGAAGGGGGACTTAATAACCGCTTATAAGCCCATTAAGAACGATTAAAAGGGCCGGGCGCGGTGGCTCATGCCTGTAATCCCAGCACTCTGGGAGGGTGAGACAGGTGGATCACCTGAGGTCACGAGTTTCAGACCAGCCTGGCCAACACGGTGAAACCCTGTCTCTACTAAAAATACAAAAATTAGCTGGGCGTGTTAGCAGGCACCTGTAATCCCAGCTACTCAGGAGGCTGAGGCAGGAGAATCGCTTGAACCCAGGAGGCAGAGGTTGCAGTGAGCCGAGATTGCCCATTGCACTTCAGCTTCCGTGACAAGGGCAAAACTCTGTTTCAAAAAAAAAAAAAAAAGATTAAAAGGAGAGTGGTAAGCAGCTGTTCTTTCTTCTCCAGTGATGACAGGGCAAGAGGGAATTGTGCTTAATGGCCAGAGAAGAGATTTAAGTCAGGCACCAAGAGGGACTTCCTGAAGCCTGGGGCCTCTCTGAAGAGCTCAGTGTCTTTTCTGGTGATGGGCAGGGAGAGCTGAGAGTCTTCTTAGTCTCAAGGCAGGCCCGGAGAAACTCAAGAAATAGGGGCAAGAGTGCACCGGGAGGAGAGAACACCTGCCGCCCATTTTCTTTCGTATATCTGGCTATTTGGTTCGGCGAAATCCAGAAGTCAAAGTGTCATCAGTGGAGGGTCTTGACTGCAAGTTGTCCAGGTTCTTGGTGTTTTGAACAAAGAATGGAACAAAACGCCCAGCAAAGCAAAGAAAGAATGAAGCAATGAAAGAATAAAAGCAGGGATTTATTGAAAACCAAAGTACACTTCACAGTGTGGGAACAGGCCTGAGCAGTGACTCAAGGGCCCAGATGCAGAGTCTTCCCAGTCCATATACCCCTTAGAGGTCTCCTGTTGGCCACTTCATGCTCACCTCATGGAAATGAAGTGGCGGCCCACAATCCGTCTGATTGGTTGCAGAAAGCAACCAATCAGAGACTGAAGTGGAGTTACAAAGGGCACACACCTGTGCAAACATCTGATTGGTTGCAAAAAGCAACCAATCAGAGGCTAAGGTGAAGTTACAACGTTGCAACGAAGGCTTGACTGGCAATCAGTCTGACTGGTTGCAGACAGCCAGTTTCCCAATGTTGACCAGGTTTTGGGGAAAAAGAATTATCTGAATAAAATGAAGACAGCAACCATCGTGGATCTGGTGAAAGTTTTCTCCCATCTTCCTCCCAAGGCCTTAAACAGGTATGAGTTGATTATAGCCAATGTTTACTTTTCTCATTCTGATTCATTATAAAACTGGCGTAAATACATTCAGGAATTAGATCACGTAGCAATTATAATTGTTGAAGACTTTGAAACTGCACAGTAGATTGTGACATTGGAGCTTTTTGTTGTGCTCAGTAGAAAGCAGGGTCTGCAACTCAGCCTGTGTGGCAAGCACGGGTGGCCCACAAGAAGAAACTGGGAAGTGACACTTCTGCTCCCCAGAGCCCCCTTTCACACCTGGGGTTCTCACTGTTTGCCTTTTTACTTAATGTGTTTTGTAACGGCTGTGAAAATTAAGCTACAAAATGAGGGAACATTGAAGAAAATTATTGCTATTTAAACTTGGGATTTCTCATTTCAAACTTAGAGTGTGTTTATCCTTCCTATTCATTCAGTAAATAACTATGGAGCAACTACCATGTGCCAAGTGTTGACTCATTAGGAAACACAGCAGCCTCCATCCCTGCCCTTCAGCAGCCTCCATTCTGTTTCTACAGCTGAATGTGGCCTGCTGATAAGCTATTCCACAGAATTCTAGTTCCAGCTGCATCCTGGCCTATTTGCTTCTTGGATCCTTGAGTGTTCTACTTGAAAGATAAATTAGCCTGGAATAAAATCCCTGGAATCTTTCCCCAGAGGAAGAGATAATTCAGAACCTTAAAAAAAAAAAAAAAAAAAAAAAAAAAAAAAAAAACAGAAAGACCTTGTCAGAAAATAGTTGAGATGTCCAAGTAGGGTTCAGTAAATAACTATGGAGCAACTACCATGTGCCCAAGTGTTGACTCATTAGGAAACACAGCAGCCTCCATCCCTGCCCTTCAGCAGCCTCCATTCTGTTTCTACAGCTGAATGTGGCCTGCTGATAAGCTATGCCA